TCGTGACTTTGTGATTGACGTGCCCGAGCACTACAGACAAAACGCACCATTGACATTCTTTGGTGACCGCTATTGTAGCACTGTATCTGAAGCGATGTCTGTTGATGAAGCTGAGGAGAGCTAGTATCTTTTGAAGCGGTAGAGGAATGAATCCCACCATTGCTTTCACCGGAACGTTGGACTGAGATTGTATGTTTGGAAAGAAGAGAGATTGATGGAATTCATTGGCTGGATTCAGAGGATTGATTCGAGTGAGGAAGTGACAACGGCGGCCTTGTTGAGACTGCACTGACGGAAACAACTGAAACTGTAACTGTGGTTACAAAAGAAGAGGACCTTGGGTAGTGACACTGGCTTCTTCCAAGGCAAACGATCCTGTCACCATGTTGGACAATCACAAGAAGTAGAAGCATGCTTGAAAGGTGGTGTGCTGCTCGAAACAATTGCACGCTGATGTCTTCATTCGTACCGAATGTTCTTCCATTTCTATAGAAGCAACTAGGCTTGGTTTTTGTCTTTCTTGAATAGTGTTTAGTAAGTAGTATATAATATATACTACTGCAATTGGCAACTTCTACCATCCGCCCAACCATACTATTTAGCTTAAAAGATACCACTTCATGGCTGCTTGGGCAATCTTCATTACGCTCGAACCATGTTTGACCAAAGCGAATCAACTTGCCCAAGTAGGTGGGTTACCATCTTTTTGACAATTATCCCTGGGCGCACTCTTTGAATGTTACAAAACTGATTGGAAACCTTCTCACAAGCCACTTCATCGGATACCACCTCCCATTTTCCATCATACTCTGTGGAGGGTTCAGGAAGCAAGCTCCACTCCTTTGCATGCGCTCCACCAATTGCGACACTGTACTCTTTTTTTTGCCACGGTCGGTGCGGTTGTACTCATCTGATAACGCGATAACAAGCTCTCGTAGCTGTCGATTACCTGGATGAGTGAGCCATGGCCCAAATAAGACATCGTTTGGACTGACCTGATCTACAATTTCTGTAGGCCTTGATATGAATGATGGTGTCAAGGATGAAAGCCCCGCACTAGAAGTGCTGTTTGCGCTTGGTCGAGACCGTTGACGACGCAAATTGCGGAAGAGCTGTGTGACATTGACACGCTGTTCATCTGTCAATAGTTCCATCCAAATGATCTTCCCTTCATCCTCTGATGTCATCAAATCAGTTTCTGAAGCAGCTCAAGGGTCTGGCTTCAGAAATCTGCCGCCATGCCTGCAAACTTCAGCAATGATCCCAGCAACAATTGTGCGACGATTGGAAATACTTCCATTGTCATACGCTGCGAGATAGATGAGCGCCAAGGAATGCAGCCGTTCATTTCCTACACCTTTGACTCTTTTCGCCAAGCACAAGACATCGTTTTCATTTGCACTATTTGGGCCTGATGCGGTGTCATGACAGGATGTGTTCCGTTGGTGCGTTGCAGTGGCTCGAGCAGAAGGAATGAGCGCAGGAGCTTGTTGCCGTTGCTCTACTTCTCGTTGCATTCTTCTCTGAAACCAAGCATTATGATAGCTCAAATCCATCTCACTTTCCTTTCCCTTCAGGGGAAGCGAGCCTCTGGTAATACCATAGCTTGCGAGCAAATATTGGCATTCTGTATGCGATCCCAAGTGTACCCGCAATTTAACACGTTCCTGATATGGCAGCATTGTAATGGATGCCCTTGTTACCATGCATTCTATTGGATTGCTGTAACATAGATGAAGGCCGTCAAGTCTGAAAGGGACAGCTTCCATAAACAACTTTCCTCCTTCCAGCATCCCCCAACCGTTTAAATGATCGTGATACTGTTCAACAAGATAGCCTACGATGACGCTTCCTTTGCTAATGTCTATCATGGTTTCAACACTGTTCGCTAACATGTAAAATCTGGCTCGCAAAACTGTCCGGATAGTCATTTTGGTTCGAAGGCCGAGGAACTCCGCAAAGATCGTTCGACCTGATCGATCACGAAATGGCGAGAACTGAATGTTGCCATCCAATAAGCAGCTCAAATCATCTTGGTTCAAATCTTGCACAGTGATGTCCCGAACCAAGCTGTCTTCACCAAAGAGGTCTTGTTTGTATTTGAAAAAGGTAATCAGTTTCGCAGCTGATGCTTTTGGTTCAAAATGACTTGATCGTAAGAAAGCCAACTGAAATTCCCGATTGGAAACATACGACGGGTCTTGCCTCTCCGCTAATTCGTACGCGGTTCCTTTCTTCATACGGTGAAGATGCGACTCCAGCTCAAGGAGCAGGTCGTCAATCGTATTGTCATCCAGGTCAACGTCATCCGCAACTCCATGAAGCAATTCTTGCTCACGCTGAATCTGATCGAAAGAGAGATTCTTCATGCCTTCCATCAGAACATCATCAAAATAAGAAGCCCCTTGGAGTTTCCTTTTGCGACTGCTATTATTCAATTGACTGGTCATGTGGCCTCCTCCACATGAGGATGAATCGTATCCACAAAGGCACGGTTTGTTTGATATCGCAACTGGTGTGCTCATGATCTATATCTCGTTGTGAAACTAGTGTTCCAACACAGAGCATGTCGTAGCTATTGTGCGATGCGGGATGCCAAATTTTAACAATACTTATTAAAACGCATACAGGAAATAGATGCTGCAGCGACTCGCATTGTGACTTTCAAGATTCTCCGAATTTCTGCGTGCGCAGTATTTTATTTTTCCGAATAGAAACGGGGGGAGAGAAAAAAAAAAGGGGCAGGTATCACATAATCTTGGTCAAACCATTTGCTTGCGTCTACCAGTTTCTACATACGGTACGTGACGGGAGCTGGTGCCATATCCAGGTTACTGCAATTCAAAAAAGGCGAATCAAAAATATTGTTTTTTTTAACGAGCTATCATACTGTAGTAAAGCTGAATCATGGCACGAGGAAGCAGTGGAAGCCAGCTGTGCGGAGCAGCTTCATAGGACAACACAACAATCCAACTTCGGAGGCTTCGTTGAGGATCTGACAGCTGGCCAGGAGATCCGTTTATATCTTGGCTGGGCACTCAGTGCATACAACTCTCGGCTGAATGAATGAGTTCACACAGGCTCATTACCGTTCGTTTTCCATGGTTGAAAAAAGTGTATACTGCGGAGCCGCTGCTTCGTATTTCCCCAATTGGGCATGAGGCTGTTCCATTGGAATTCATCCCTTGCTAGTGTCCGAACTACCACATTGTTGCACGTCTAACATAGAGAGTATGGCAAGGAGGCAGCAGGATGATGCAGGTAGATTCCAATCTTACTGCCATATCTTTGCCGAACTCTCGACTTACTCACAAATGAAGCGTCGCAAGCCAATCATTGAGTTGCTATAGATAACATAGTTGATTAAATAGTTAAGTTTGATTCCAAAATGTTACTAATGCAACCCAGGATGTAGAGAGTGCAGACGCCGTGTTCACAAGTCAATCGTGAACCAAAGGATTGATATGTGCGACCCGGTTATCGGTTGGATGGTTCTTCAACTGTAAAATAGGCAACTTATAAATATTCCAAATCTCATCTAACAGGATTAGTAGTCTTCCCATTCAATGTGATTTGAACAAAGTACTTACATCAGAACAACAAGCTCGATACCTTTCTTCTCTTCTCTTGCTTGCTGCTGTATTGAACTATGATGTGACCGTATCGGTAGAATAGGCAAGTCAGAAATATTCCGAATCTCAATTTTAGCCGGGAAGGTCCAAGATAAATCCCTCTCCCCTCCTGCTTTCAAACAATGTTGATTGTTGCATTTATCGATACTTTTCATGTCTTGTTTGCTGCGGATGTGAATGCAAACAATGCTTTGACCATGGCATAGACATTTATGCTGTACAGTAGCAAGATCAATCACACTCCGCTCCATCAGCTTTCAAACAATGTGGATTGTAGCATTCTTCTTGCCGAATTCATAACGTTGTTGCTGATTTGTTGGCTCGAGTCGCTTGTTCTTCAAAGACTACTGGATCAAGTAGGTCACGACAAGCAGGTAACAACGCATTTATTGATACCTTCTTGTCTTCTTTGCTGCGGTACTGAATGCAAACGATTTGACCCACCATTGAAAAGGCAAAACATTCCGAATCTCGTTTAAAAGCAGTGCAGTAGCAAGATAATCCCACTCTGCTTTCGCTTTCTAGTGGATTGTTGGATTGCTTCATTCTAATCAATCGGCACCTACTCAGATCGCGAGCGCCGATGCAGATTTGTTGGAACTCATCTTGTCTTCATTGATGATGCCCCTGATGTATACGATGTTGTGCTTCTGCCTCCAGGCTGTTTTGCATCATGGCTATTTAGCGTCTGTTGTGGTCAGTGTCGTGTGCTGTCCTGCTCCACTGCTCTTGTTGCTCGTTGGAGGCTCGTGATCGAAGTGTTGTCGATGGAAACAATGATGACACGCACTATGTATGATACAATGCATCTCAACATGAAACTAGCTCCCGTCAAAAACGGTACCAAAACGGACGAAAAATGCCTCTACTACAGTCATATCCGGGTCGCTTAGCAGCTCTATTTTTTGAAATCAAATATTATTCGTCTGTTCTTCGATCTTTGGTTATTCCAAGCGGAAATGTGCCGTCATCGTAGGGGTAGTATGAAAAATACGACGATTTTCAAATATTCATCACCTATTTTATGGAATACCTGCATAATTGGCAGGTATCACATAATCTTGGTCAAACCATTTGCTTGCGTCTACCAGTTTCTACATACGGTACGTGACGGGAGCTGGTGCCATATCCAGGTTACTGCAATTCAAAAAAGGCGAATCAAAAATATTGTTCGTCACGGAGAAACTCACCAATGCTACAGACAAGGAATTTTACAGATACGTTAACGAGCTATCATACTGTAGTAAAGCTGAACCATGGCACGAGGAAGCAGTGGAAGCCAGCTGTGCGGAGCAGCTTCATAGGACAACACAACAATCCAACTTCGGAGGCTTCGTTGAGGATCTGACAGTTGGCCAGGAGATCCGTTTATATCTTGGCTGGGCACTCAGTGCATACAACTCTCGGCTGAATGAATGAGTTCACACAGGCTCATTACCGTTCGTTTTCCATGGTTGAAAAAAGTGTATACTGCGGAGC